ATCGCAGAGCTCTGTCCCTAGCTGCTACTCCCTAAGAGGCAGGAATAGAACTGAGGGGCAGGGCTATTCCCAAGGCGGCAACAGGAAGGAGAAAAAAGTATTTCCTGCCTCCCTAAAGGAACGATGGGAATAACCCATGAAGATGTCTTCCACCTCAGTGGGAGAACAGGAGTTTTATGCAATATGCTGTGAAACCCTAGCTACACCAGTACTGTGAATTCTTTTTCAGAATCCAAGGTACACACCAAGTAACCACTGCCTTCTTAAACTAAGGAAGAAAATTTATTTAAAGAAAAAAATACAAATAACAATACATGTTCAAGTTTCCAAAAAACACAACAAGTAAAACTATACCTTTTCCTAATTACAGGAGAAAAATTATCTTAAAGGCATAAAATTTAAGTCTTACAAAAAAAATCAATAATACTTTCTTCCCTTCAGTCACAGTTGATAAAGAACTGGAACAAACAACCTGCAAAGAAACACGCCTTAGCAAAGTAACCAGTGCACAATGATACCCTTCCTTAACACGGCAAGTGTCTCTAGCCCGGTCTTCTCAAGCCAATTATACAGTTACCTTGTGATAAACAAGATAATGACTTAATGATCTTCATCTGGCCACTGGACAAGATTCACTCAAAACAAACTAACTCCCCTCTGACAAATACTTTCCCCACCTCCTTTCCCTTCATAGTAGGGGTATACATTCAGCATAAACCGAGCTGAAAAAATACCCAAAAAATACCTTACCTGTATTTTTGTGTGTGCGTTTTTAAAACCCATTTTAAATTGGGACCGAGTTTCAGCTATTCAAAATGGCCAAGTCCTGAAAATCCCAAAAATATTCAGGATTTTTGAGACTACCAGATAACTGAACTTAAAGGGCATTTAAAGTGATCACAATCCCTTTAAATGCCTTCTCCAAGCCACACGACTCCACGGAAAGTGAACTCCGAAGGCGTTTAAGGGGCTCACAGTCACTTTAAATACCTTCTAGGTGAGATCACCACTTGGAGGTGTTTAAAGAGACTGCAAGCCCTTTAAATGCCTTCAGAGTTCACTCGCTGTGGAGTTGTGGGGCTTGGTCAGAAGGATGTAGGGTTGCCAACTCCAGGATGGGAAATTCCTTGACATTAGAAGGGTGGAGCCTGGTTTAGGGTTGGGTTCAAGGAAGGAAGGAAGGAAGGAAACTCAGGTAGGTATAATGCCTTAGACACAACCCTCCAAAGCAGTCCTTTCCTCCAGAGGAACTAGTCTTCCCAACCTCCAGGTGTGGTCTGGAGATCGCCTGGAATTATAGCTGCTGTCTAGATAACAGAGATCAGTTCCCCTGGAGAAAATGGTTGTTTTAGAGGGTGGAGTTTATGGCATTATTCCCTGCTGAGGTTGCTTCCCTCCCCAAACCTCAGCCTCCCAAGGCTCCACCCTGAAATCTCCAGGGAGATTCCAACCTGGATCAGTTAAATTTAAGAAGAACTGATCTCTGTAGTTTGGAGATCTGTTGTGATTCCTGGAGAACCACCACTGCCATTGCTGCTGGGGTGGGGAGATGATAGGGTTGCCAACCCCCCCCCCGGTTTGCCAGGGGGCCCCCGTTTTTTTTGGGGGGGGGGGTTCTACCCACTGCCAGCCAGATGGCCAGCAGGGGAAGCCCCACCCCCAACACCCACAGCCACCCCTCTCTCTCCCTTTAAGTGTGTGGAACCCGTGTTTCCTCCCAAGCCTGTGTTTCCTCCCAAGCCAGATCTCCGCTTGAGATCAGGCTCGCAGGGAAATGCCTGCTTCGTGCATTTAAAAGGGAAATGCAGCTGCTCTTAAAGGGGAAACACCGGCTCATGCTCTTAAAGGGGAAACCCCGAGAACTGATCTCTGTAGTTTGGAGATCTGTTGTGATTCCTGGAGAACCACCACTGCCATTGCTGCTGGGGTGGGGAGATGATAGGGTTGCCAAACCCCCCCCCCGGTTTGCCAGGGGTCCCCCGTTTTGGGGGGGGTTTCTACCCACCGCCGGCAAGATGGCCGGTGGGGGAAGCCCCACCCCCAATACCCACAGCCACCTATATCTCTCTCTTTAAGTGTGTGGAACCCGTGTTTCCTCCCAAGCCTGATCTCCGCAAGCTTGCAGGGAAATGCCAGCTTCGTCCTCTTAAAAGAGAAACGCGGCTGCTCTTAAAGGGGAAACGCCAGCTCCTGCATTTAAAAGGGAAACGCAGGCTCCTTTAAGTGCAGGGAACTGCCGCTTCTGGAGATCTGGCGCACGGGCGGGGGGGGGCCGCGGACGTCCCCAACGTGACATCATCACGTCGGGGATGCCCTGCCCCCTCCAGGAACGCCCCCAAAGTCCCCTGCTGGGGGTGGAAGATGGACTTGGCAAACCTAGGAGAGGAGGAAGGAAGGTGGGCAGCTGGGAGTGTGACGAGCAGAAAGAGACAGGAAGTGATAGGCATGCAGAAGACAGAAAATGAGAAAAGGGGTGGCAGGGGGGAGAAACAATGTGAGAGAAGTAGGAAGGAGGCGAGGAAGCAAAGGTGTGAGGAACAGCATAGCCATTCCTACAAGCTTCTTGCAGATCCTCACTTGTACAGATCTGATACTCTTCTTTACATGTGTAACATGATCTTAGCATGCTTACCACAAGGAAGTCCCACTGTGTTTAATGGGAAATTGCCAAATATTCCAGTGCCATGTTCAGTGCTTATATCAAGGTAAAAACTGAAGCATGAGTTGAGATCAGCACTCAGTTATGCCTTCATCCATTGAATGTGAAGAAACCATTTATTCTTGGCCTGTTTAATTATTAGTTTTTTGTTCCCAAACAGGAACACACATGACATTATACACTTTCCATGTTTTCCCCATCCTCGATATGCTGACGGCTCTCTCTCTAAGCTGTTTTACTACAGTTTCATTATAACAGTTTCTAAACTAATAGGTTTAAGTATCAAAGAATTATTATTTTGAGGGTGTGTGTTCTTATGAAATTATTGCCTAACTATATTTGACTGGTCAATAGACCAAATCTATTTTGATCAGTCAAATTACTCAGCATCCTTTCCTTATAATGATGATGGATGGAAGTGCATTTCAGGTTGCATTGTTTTTCCAGATTTTGGCAATGCACCACACATGCACAACCTGTAACCTAGCAAGCCAAATGCCACTGTGCATGGCAGTCTACCAAGAGATCAATAATCCTACTGTTTTTATGGCTGGCCTGTTTGGGGGGGGACCCAGAAGGGCTGTCCATCATCTAGCAGACTATGACACATGATTGGTGGGTAGTTTGCTTAATCACAAGTTATGAAAGCAGGAAAGTAAACACTAGGAAGACTTAAATAAATAATATTTAAAATACAGACAATTGTTTCAACAACTACCATCCCCCTCCACTAACCGCAATATGAATGTGTTACCCCAGTATGAAGAAGAAGAGGAGGAGGAGATTGGATTTATATCGCGCCCTTCACTACCCAAGGGAGTCTCAGAGCGGTTTACAAACTCTTTTCCCTTCCCCTCCCCTCCCTGTGAGGTAGGTGGGGCTGAGAGAGCTCTGACAGAAACTGCTCTTTTTCAAGAACAGCTGTGCCAGAACTATGGCTTGCCCAAGGTCATCCAGCCAGGTGTATGTGGAGGAGTGGGGAATCAAACCCGGATCTCCTAGATTAGAGTCCGCGCATTTAACCACTACACCAAACTGGCTCTCTTTATCTTTATCTTGATGTAGAATATTAGCACAAGACAATTTATACAGTACTTCCTAGAGCAATCCAGTTTCTCTACAATCTGTCACTTGGCATTTCACAGTCCAAACAGAAAGCCTGTGTTCCATTGGTCCCCCCTAAACTGTTATGAGTTTAAATCATATTGACATTTGGCAGTCCACAAAACAAAGCATTGCATTTGATAAAGATATGACAACATTTACAAAAGAATGTGAGAAAGTTGCATGTATTCTTTTAAATAAGGTTCAAATGTTGACATACAACCACGAGCATCACAAAACATCCTTTAAAAAAGTGAATCAGAGGCCAAAGAAAGACATACCGAGGGAAATCTGTGACAGGTATTAAGAGACTTCTTTGATAGACTGGGGTGGTGGTAGTAAGTAGATGCATAGATGCAAATAATACTACTTCTGTATCAATTACTTGATATTGGTTGTATATTAGATGATGACACTTCTTCCACAGCTATTAGGTCTGACCAGAGAGCAAAGTGTTAACCAGTCCCTCCGTGTACTAAACTGGATTTACACTTTTCAAATCAGACAAAATCCAGAAATGCATTCTTTCTTCCATGCACGAGTCCAAAAAGATTTGTGCAGCCTGCAGGTCTGCCTCAAGTAAATCAACTTTTTCTTTTTCTTTTTGCCACACAGTAAAACTAATGTTGCAATCCCAAGAGTGTTTTTTTCCGAAGAAAATCCTACTAAAATCCCTAATGAAACTGAATTACTTCAGAATAAACGCAGCTACCGTAGCGGCAACAAACGCAGAGTGCCACAACCTTTCGTGAGTAAAAGTCCTTCTACCCCATACAAATCATTCAAAAAATAACTTTGCAGCACCTTGAAGACTATAACAATTCATTGTTGCATGAGTTTTAACTGTCGGGCTCAAACCCAGCCAACTTCGCGTTCTGACGAGAACTACGAAACTCACTAACAACCCCCCCCCCCCCCCTCGTGGGATTTTCTATAGCCAACAAAGTCTCCCACAGGAAGTGACGTCTTAATCACAGCCTCTCTCTGCCTACCTCAACCGCCGGGAACAAAAGGGATTTTCAGGCTTTTAGAAGCGCACACAAACTCTCCGCAACAACCACCGGTCCCGGCATGTGATTGGCTAGCATTATAATCAGGGCCCCCGGCACCCTGGTTTTCCCCGCCCATTGTCCCGCCGATTGGCCAAATGCTTCGGCTGCCTAGAGAAGTAGTTGGTGGGCGGAGCTGTCAATCTCTAGCTGCCCGAGGAGGCTGGATGGAGAGTGGGGCCGAGCGGGGACACTGGTGGCTTGGGCGAAGGCGAGGGCGACGGCGGGTGTTGAGCGGGGAGCAGCTGCGGCCAGGTCGGTGGAGAGTGGGTGCTGGCGTGGCGCGGGCGGCGCCGTCTGGGCTGCTCAGGGCAAGGGGAGTCGCGGCTCGCGTGTGCAGCGCTGGGAGCCGGCGAGGGGGGAGTGGTGGGAGCTTACCTGGAGGGAGGCCCGCCGCGCGGCGACGTGGGAGGGGCCGGCGTTGGGAAGGAGATGGAGCGGGGCCTCCGAGGCGCGCGTGCTCCGGTGCGGGTGGACGGGGAGGGGAATTCCGAGGCGCTGGGGGCCGGAACGCGGCGGTGGACCAGGGAGGAGGGGGAATTTGGGATTTGTTTCACGCGTTGCGACGAACAAGTGGTTGGACATAGTTGTGCCGTTCGTTTCCACGAAGGACCAAAGATTTTGAAAGTCAGTATTTGATTCCCAAAATGAACGTTACAGCCCGAGGCTTCCTTAGGGCGGGTGGGAAAGGATGGTTACGGTAACTTCCCGGGGCGGGGGGGATGACTTCTCCTATGTACGCTGGATATCGGCTCCTTTACTGTGATTTCCTATATTGAAAGTTTTCTGTAACTGAACGAAATTGATATTGAGGAAAATATCGCTTGGTGTGATAGGCAAAAAAGCAGATCTTAAACCACTTTGGTTTTAAGCCACTCTGAGCATGCCCTGGTGGGGAGGGCGGGATACAAATCAAATAAATAAATATTGCCAGGGGTCATTTCCTGTAGGAGCGCACAGGAGCGGAGCTCCGGCAGTAAAGCGCCCAGGGGGCGGGCATATGCAAGAAGCCCCACCCCCTGCTTCCAGCAGCCCCGGGCCACAGGAGCAAGAAGCAGCCAGGTAAGTTGCAGTGGGTGTTGCCTTCTGACACACTTCTGGTGACGTCAGGTGTGGCATATGCAAATAAGTTATGTGAATGAGTTATGCTAATGAGCTCCGGCACCTCTTTTTCTATGAAATGACCCCTGAATATTGCAATTAGGGTGGTCGCATGAAATAAAGTGGGAAATATTGGAGGAATAATAGTTGTTGGATATATACACTTAGAGGGATTTAATGTTGGGGAGCAATTTGGGTATGAGATTGGTTAATAACGGAACAGTGGGATGTAACTGTTTTTGTTTAGAATTGTAAGCCGCTCAGAGCCCCGGGGGGGGGGGGTGAGCAGGATAGGAAATCGAATGAAATAAATAAAAATAAATATATTGAAAAAATGCAGACTTGGTAAAACATTTCGTTAACATGCTAATTTCCTTTGTTGCAAATATGTACAAGTATTTTAGATGCACAAGTTATTAACAGAGTAGAACAGCAGGGCCTGTCATAACTTGCAAATGGAAAGGGGAAAATATTGAATACAGTTGGGAATGCAACAGATGGAGGAAAAAAATTGATCAGAGGAGTGCAATAAATCGAGATGGAATTTGATTGTGCAACTCTAAGGGAAAGCCCTGCCTGTTGTATGGTTAATGGTGAGAACCAAATAGTGCAGCAGTCTTGATTCCTTCAAACTAGGAAAGGTGCCTTTAGCGCTTGTGTTATTGTTGAGAAGTTTTGATCCTCTTGAGGGGCACGGGGTGCTTTGGAAGACCATCAATACCTGACAGAATTTACTGTGGTTGCAGCTACACCTTTCATATCCATGTGAGGTTGGCATCTGCCCTCTCCGCTTGATTGATGACATAACAACAATACATGGTTGATAAACACCAGAAACAACTTTTTAATTTTGTTCTGTGCAGTTAAGCACATACCACTGTGACAAATGTATGTGTCTGCTCTGACTCTCGTGTATTCAGATAGCCTAAGAATAGGGTGAATAAAATTGATCCCCCCCCCCCCGGAAAAATTAAAATAGGAGTTTTCCTGCCATAATAAGCTTTTCTTAAAAACTTTCTTTTTAAAAAAGTTTAAATTTAGTGCAAACATGTCATCTCTTAAATGGAATTTATGACTCATTAATGAAAGGCTTTTCTTTATAAAAAGAGAATGGGGGGATTTTGTCTTCATCACAATATATTATAGTTGATACTGGATGCAGGAATTGGTAAGTCACCATAATGTCATCTCATATGGGTGATTTTAACTACCTGATATCTATAGTTGGCTCAATACTATTTTTTTTTCCAATCAAAGGAGTTGGGCACATAACTTGCATTTCATGGAGAACATTCATTTGTCTCCTAATACTGGACAGGGCTTCTGAATGGGGGGGGGGGTTAGACAAGGGCAGTTACAGGACACATGCGAATGGCGGAATAAAACAGAAAGGAACACTGAAAAGAGCCCAGGATCTGTCTACAAAGAACTATCATGACTGCAAGTTGTGAATGAGTTCTTTCCCACTAGTATAACAGCACGTAAAGGTAAAGGTTCCCTTGCTCGAAAGCCAGTCAAGTCCGACTCTAGGGTTGCGGTGCTCATCTCTGTTTCAAAGCCGAAGAGCCAGCGCTCTCCGAAGACGTTTCCGTGGTCATGTGGCCGGCATGACTAAATACCAAGGCGCATGGAACGCTGTTACCTTCCCACCAAAGTGGTACCTATCTATCTACTTGCAATTTCTTGCTTTCGAACTGCTAGGTTGGCAGGAGCTGGAACTAGAGACGGGAGCTCACTCGGTCTTGCGGCACCCGGGTCTCAAACTGCTGAACGACTGACCTTCCACAGCCTGCAGTTCAGCAACTTAACCACTTGAGCCACCGCAGCTCCATAACAGCACCTACCATTACAAAATAACACCTTTGTGTGTTGGAGGAGGGTTTTCTACCCCCCATACACACTTTGGTCCCCTACTTAAGGAGGAAGAAATCAGTAAAATCCTATTCTTCAAGCTTCACTCAACTGTGACCAATTTGGATCATTTTCAAAATTAATAAAATTATGAAATATATTTTAAAATGTACTTTTTGAAATTTTATTTGGTTTCATGTCAGTATGTTTGTAGTTATAGCAATCAGTTAGCATACACATATTCGAGAAGTATCTGAATCATGACAAGTTGGCTTAAATTCATATTTGAATCAATCTGCTGCTGTTGATTATTTAAATTGTCTTGATTATTGAAACTGCCTTTTTAACTCCATTCTGTTTAGGAATATTGGTAATCTTTGCTAAATGTGTTTATGATGAAAATAATATTCCAGTGTTATTGTGAAATAGATGATTTGGATGAAGGGATAGAGGGAATGCTTATTAAATTTGCAGATGATACTAAATTGGGAGGGGTAGCAAATATAGTAGAAGACAGAGTTGGGATACAGGATGATCTTGACAGGCTGGAAAACTGGGCTAAAACAAATGTAAAGGCTGGTAAACTGGGCTAAAACAAATAAAATTATTTTCAGTGGGGATAAATGTAAAATTCTGCATTTAGGTATAAAAAATCAAATTCATGATTATAGGTTGAGGGAGACTTGTCTTGGCAGTAGTATATGTGAAAAGGATCTAGGGGTCTTAGACCATACACTGAACATGACTCAGCAGTGTGATGCAGTTGCTAAAAAGTGAAATACAATTTTGGGCTGTATCAACAGAAGTATAGTGTCCAGATCACACGAAGTGATGGTATTGCTTTACTCTGCTCTCATTAGACCTCACCTAGAGTATTGTGTTCAGTTTTGGGCACCACAATTTAAGAAGGATATAGACAAGCTAGAACGTGTCCAATGGAGAGCAACAAAGATAGTGAGGGGTCTGGAGACCAAGTCCTATGAGCAAAGGTTGAAGAAGCTGGGTATGTTTAGCCTGGAGAGCTGAGAGGTGATATGATAACCATCTTCAAGTACTTGAAGTGCTGTCATCTAGAGGATGGTATGGAGCTGTTTTCTGTTTCCCCAGAAGGTCAGACCAGAACCAACGGGTTGAAATGAAATCAGAAGAGTTTTCGGCTAAACATTAGGAAGAACTTCCTGACTGAGTGGTTCCTCAGTAGAACAGACTTCCTCGGGAGGTGGTGGGCTCTCCTTCCTTGGAGGTTTTCAAATAGAGGCTAGATGGCCATCTGACAGCAATGTGGATTCTGTGAACTTAGGCAGATCATGGGAGGGGTTAGTTCTTGTGGCCATTTTTTACACACCCAGGGAAATTGCCACTTTTCTCCAGGCCAGTTTGGCCAGGGATCCTCGAGGTTTTTTGTCATCCTCCTGGGCATGGAACAGTGGTCACTGTGGGTGTGGAGGGGGAGGTATTTGTGAATTTCCTGTTTTGTGCATGGGGTTGGACCTGTTTTGTGCATGGGGTTGGACTAGATGACCCTGGAGATCCCTTTTTAGTCTTTAAAAAAACTTGAGCAGAGAGTACTATTTTCAGTGTTTAAAGTATGTCTAACCAGAATTGAAACTATTAGCTTTTCAAAACTATATTGTTGTTAATGTAACATATTCTACTATTGTTCCAATGTTTCTGCTTTTTTTGAATGGGGAGTTGAAGCTTTGGCATGTAACTACTATATGAAGGTGTTCTCAGTGGCTTTAGTAGCACTGACAGCACAAATCCGTAATTGCCATGTTTGTTTGGGTAAACAAAGAATGGAACTCTAAAAGTACATCAACATCTTTATAAAAATAACTGCATTTTTTAAAAATAATAATAATGGTAAACTGAGTTTACCTTAATACACTGACATACTGCCACGTTTCTGGATTTTACCCCTTGACACAAAGGGATTGGAATGAAGTAAATGATTTGAACATCTAGAAAAATACCCTTAAAATTTTAATTATTGCAGTAGCCAACAGATTTGTTTCTTTAACTAAAAGTAAATGCATTTATAGTATTGTTAATATTCATCACACACTACAAATGCAGATGATTTTAAAGGAGGAAAGAGAGAATGGGAAGAAGCCAGTTTATTTTGCAATTTTAAGTGTTTAAGGAGATGATAGTGATATTATACGAAATATAGTAGATCTTAAGGTGTTGTAGTGCAAATAAATATCTCTGGGTCCACCACCATTAATGTTGTCTTGGAAATTCACAGGCTGTTTCTTCTGTCTGTACATGATTGTCCAGTTTGGTATAGTGGTTAAGTGTGC